AACCCTGGCAGGACTCGAACCTGCAACCTTGGAAACCAAAGTCCGACGCCTTATTTATTAGACCACAAGGCGACACTTGACGTTGTTCTATTTTTTTTTCTGTAGTCGAACCGTCAACATACTTTGATGCGAGGATCCGAGCACTTCTGGCATGGATACGTTTCCTCGCATTCGTCCTGCACAGAGGTCTTCGAATATTTGATGGGCTGCTTTATTTGCTGCTTGAGGATTTCATCTACTGTACGAATTTCAAAGAATCCTGGTCAGAACGAATCTCGTTGGCTATCTTGGAGGTGGCTAAGCTACGGCGTTCTCTACAGCGATTATCAAATGACCGTAAAAAGGCGTTCTTGGTGAGGGGTCGAACTACGACCCTAATTCACGTAACAACGCACCAATAACCAATGCGCTACACCTCCCATCCGCGGCGTGACGCACACAGTAAGGGAATGAGGCACACGAAAGAACCTGGCTATAAGCTGGTTGTGAAAACCTCAAATGAAGCTGTACTTGTAGCTTGTGTAGTTGCGGACAAGGCGGGTCGTTTTTGAAAGCCGCTTCATATCCAATGATTTTTTGTTAACTTTTATTTTACTTTGCTTATTTTTGGTTCATTTATTCTTTATTTTGTTTTTATATTTGCTTTCTTCCAACAGATTTTATTCAAAGTCTTTTAACAGAGCAAGTATGTTTTGTTCTCGCACAGAGAAACACTCGTATTTATCGTCGTCGCTATTTGCGCATTGTTTCATCTCTTTGTTCTTTTCTCATCAATGACATCATCGTCTCACTGCCATAGGTGGCTATTTCCTGCGTTTATCAACTGGCATAAGAGCGCATGTGGCGCAGTGGTTAGAGGTGCTCTGCGTCGCACACGAGGTCAATGGTTCGATCTCGCGCTCATGGCTCACCAAGCCATCCATCCCTTCGGGGTCGGTAAATTGGTATCAGGCAGGTCTCAGACTTGTCTGGTAGGATAAGCAGCACTGGGTTCAGCGGGAGGCCACCGCGAGTCATTGTAAAGAGAAATGCATTCAATCACCTCAAACGAAGTTAAAAATTGAAGTCGAATGCATGGCGCATCCCTCAAGGATTGATCAACGACGAGAGCTTTATCCTTTACCCTTTTTATCAACTGACATCGGCCATGTAATGAAGGATTTGGGGACTAATAGACAGAGAATAGTATCGCTTTATGCGACGCCTTCGTCACTGGTCGGTCGCTTTGGACACGGAGCCCGATAATGGACATCCAACCCCGAGAGAAGACGAGCACTTCACATCCAGTAATTCCGCTCTATTTCAATGTTCATTTCATTCATCTGGTCTCAAGCTTCACTGATTTCTTTTAGAATGTTGTTTTTTCTTTTCATTTTACTGTCTTAAGTCCTAGCTCAGCCAACTGACTTCCGTGGATTTAAAGTGGGCGTGCCTAACTCACAAGGGCTTCAATCGCCATCATGCGAACGGCTCCACCCTCTTCCCCTTTTCAACCTGCGACCCTAACCTTGATGGCCACCACTGTTTGTCTCACCCCTCTCTCCCACTCGGCACTCATCCATCGTGAAGAAGGGTGCTGGCCCGATCCCTTACCACAACACTTCGCTGTAGTCTTTTTGATGTCATCTTTTCGACGTCGCTGCGTATCGAAGGCCCTTCTATAGCGTAAGTATTCCAGACAAACGCTCAGTTGTATAGCATTTCGCCACTTCTTGATACGAGACATAAATCGTAAACGTAGAACGTAAGTGTAATAAATTATGTTCTAGGATGCATATTGTTGAATAAATGCTAATAAGTAAATTATATACATTGATCGCTTGTGATACGGTGATACTATGTGAAATATGGTGTGATTTGGTGTGCCCTTAATTCAAACATAATGTAATGAAAATCAAAAAGATAACACCAAATAATTACAGTGGATTGTAGTGGTAGGAGATCAAAGCAGAGACCTTCTTACCGATGGACGAGTGCCAAGTGACAGAGAGAAGTGATACATTGTCATACTGATGTTAAAGTGGCTGGAGGTGGGAGGGTGGAGTGGTTTCCATGCTAGGGATTGGAGTTTTTACCAGTTAGACACGCTTAATCTAGGTCCGCGGAAGTCAACCGGTTGAAATAATCTGACATGAAACCATATTCTCAGTCTTCCGTGAGGTCTGATATGGCACTTCAAAAGGTAGGCGCACCTTTGGGCTTTGATGGTAAGTTTCATCAGTAGCACATGCCTTACGGTTCAACCAAGCCCCTACCTCTAGGGGTATCGGCGCTGTGAATGTTACGTCGTACGCCAAGTGAAAAGATCACCTGACATCACAGTAACACTCGAATGTTTGATGACTGGTTAAAGCAAATATAGGGATACCTATGTATTCGACCGCTTTTTTTACACCTCGCTTAACGTTCTGTATAATCTGACAGCATGTTTGAAGCCTTTTGTGGTTGGACCGAAAGGCATGTGCTACTGATGAGGCTTCGCATGAAAGCCGAAACGTGCGTCTAGCACTTGAAGAACCATTTCAGACCTTGCGAAATTCTCAGACTAGCTCATCTGACTTTGTTATCTTCTCACCCAAAGAAATTTTCAGTACCCGATTTGAAATCTATGAAAAACATTTTTTGCTCTGAAGCACTAATTCATTCATGCCAATTGGGAAGAAATAGTGTGACAACATTTAGAAACATGAAAACCAACGGTGAATTTCACTTGGCTTTCCAAGGGCTGGGTACGCCGTGGCCCAGTGGGTTGTGATGCTCGCCGCGACGTGAATGGAGTCAAACCCTACCCCTACCCCCACCCCCACCCCCACCTGCCATTCCCCCCCCCCCTCCCTTAAATACTCCCCAGCTGTCAACAACGAACGCACTATGTTGATTGCTAGAATTACTGAGATCCGCACAGTAGAAAAAAAATACACTGAAAGCGGATTTCAAAGTGCTTAAGAGAAGTTTTCAAGAGCTAGAGTGAAAATAATGTCGCTGAAAATCTTATTTCAAAAAGCGTTCTAAAAAATTACAGTATAATTCCTATTGCTAGAAAGAAGGGAATGAGAATCTCGACTCTGCTCATTGCACTCCACTTACATCAACACCTGTGCGTTCTCGACATGAAACATCGTTTCGTTGATTCCTTGAGTGAGTCCGATTTCGTTTCGCTTTCTAAGTTTCTGGTATTGGTCATAACGAAACTTTCTCCTAACTTTGATCTTTCTTGAGTGGTCTTCCAAGCTTGAGAGTGGAAAATGTAAGCTTGAAAGATAAGCTGGAGTAGCCATGTAGCTTTGTTGTGATTTGATTCGTGAACTTAATACGAAAATTCTGATAATTCCCTTAGTTGGATCTGATAATTAATATTGCTATTGCGTTCCGAAGGCGCATGTGGTAAGTGATTAGAGGTGCCCTGCGACGCAACATTTGGTCGATGGTTCGTTCGCGCGCATATTCTCAGCAGCTCTTCTATCTTATTGGGAGTCGACAGGCTGGTAGAAGAGTTGTCTGAGAAATAGCAGCGCTGACTTGATACATCTTTAGGAAACCGCGAGTCATTGTAAAGGGCGAGATATGAATTCAATCATCTCTAACAATGCTCGATGAAATTGAATGCTTGGCGCATACTTCGATGATTGATCCACACTAAGAGCTTTTCCTTAATTCTTTCATATGGTCTGCTTTGCGTCTGAATTAGATCCTTCTTTTCTAAAAGAAATTCCTTACTTATTGTCACATTAGGTTATCGGAGCGATGCCACACACATGGAAGTGATTCGGATACTGCAATCATTGGCTGGTTAATCCGATGAATATGTACACGTTCATTTCCACCTACTATTCTATTCGCTCTTATATTTAGCATGGATATGAGTAGATTTTATGGCTATTTGTGTTATTATTTGAAATTACTGCGAGCGCTAAGATGCTACATTGGTTTTCAGTTGGAAGTGTCAAGCAACTCAGTCATACAACTGAGAAGAACCGTCGACTAATAAAAGAAATAAGAGAATTCTAAGTCAATCGTTACAATGGCAAATGGAGAAATCTGATATGAAAAGACAGGTAAAATCATCAGCTTAGTGTTTTTGGGACATCTATTGTTATATGTTATAGGACATTTAATCCATTTTCCCTACTTAAGCTCAGGGATGCAAATATGTTGGCTGAATCAGTACGTATGGAGATAAAAGTGGGTACTTTATGATAATAGTTTTGAAATTAAAAATCCTTTTTTTATTCGTCACATCGATTTTTCTTCTGCTACATCTGTAGGGAAAGAATGATAGAAATGATTAACTGGAAAGACGTCTTTCACACTTATCAAAACTATGGAGGAACTCCTGCTGTGCTCCACTAAATAACGGCATGCTGTCAGAATTCAAAGTTATTTTGCATATTGGACCTCTCCATTTCTCAATTAATTTGTTTGAAAAAGAAGTTTTTTGTAAGTTAAAAGGCAAGGAGTTAAATTTTTTGCAAGCGCGCTCTTTATATAACATCTATTTCAAATGAGGTGTCGAGTGACACATTGGGAACCGCGTGGGCCGTTATCGTACCACTGATTGCAGCGCCGCGTCTCGACTTGCTGAAACCTACGCTAATGGGTGCGCACTCTGATTATTCCTATTCTACTTTATTTCATTATTCTAAGAGCATCTACGATTAATGGCTTTATAATACTCTGTAAAGGATTTATATTCATTAGCAGCGAAGAATTGGCACTGCTTCACACTGCAATATACAGAAGCACTTTCGAAAGAAGATGTAGGGTGTGCAACTGCATTGCGCAACGTGAATTTTGAGGTCATTAGAGTACTGCAACATTGTGATTTGAGCCTCCCTTTCAGCCGAACGACGGCGCCGCGTCTTAAGCAAAAATCGTCATGGTACCCAGAGTGTCAGATACAGAGGGCATGGTAGATGTTTTGTTCGGCAGAATTAGCTATTTGGAAGGAAGTGCAATAAGTGGAATGCCCTTGTCTTGCCTCCCTCCTCCTCCTCTCCTCCCCACCGCCTTCCTGCTGTATATGCATAGCACTTCCAGCGTTATCTGCAAAAAATGTCATCAAAGCTGAGTTT